TCTCGGACCATTTTAAAAATCCATCACAACACGTGGCGATATCGTTAAGAACTTGAAACGTTTAGACATTCGATCAACGTTACTTTCAATTTTTCTTAAACCGACTTTTCCGTCATTTGCATTGGACGATGTAGTCTCTATACTACACTGCTCGTCGGATAGAACGGAAACACTTACTAACGTAGCATTTACTAAATTTTCATATTTTTTTGATTTCCACGAGGTCATAATTTTTGAAAACCCGTCAATCAGTTCTAACAAGTTGTTATGAAAATGTGCTGCACTCTCTATAACAGACTCTATTCTACACGGCAAGTCTAAACTGTCATTGGACAAACAATTTGTTTCGCGTTTAATATAATTTTCAAGATGGTTCGAAACCATTGACGATATCGTCAACAATTTGAAACGTTTTGAAATGAAGTCAATGCCACTTTCAATTATTCTTAAATAATTTATTTTTGGCAATTTCCCGTCATTTACACCGGACAATGTAGTCTCCACACTACACTGCTCGTCGGATAGAACGGAAATACTATCTAACATAGTATTTAATAAATCTTCACATTTTTTTAATTTACACGAGGTCGTAATTTTTGAAAACTCGTCAATCAAGTCTATCAAGTTGTAGTGAAAACGGGCTGCACTCTCTCTAACAGACTCTATTCTATGCGACAAGTCTAAATTTTCATTAAACAAATACGTTTTTTCGCGTTTCAAATCATTTTCAAGATCGTCCGAAACAATTGACGATGTCGTTAACAACTTGAAATGTTTTGAAATGAAATCAACGCCACTTCCAATTATACTTAAATAGTTTATTTTTGGTAATTTTTCGTAATTTGTACCGGACAATGTTGTCTCCGCACTACGTGGCTTGTCAATTTCCAATGCGATATGAACTGATGTATCCATCTCTACATCGTTAATTTTTCGTGATTTTAAATTTTTAAACTGGTCATTATGTTTTCGTTTGTTATTGACGAGTTTTTTAGGTACATCATTTAATTTTTCAACATTTAATTGTGCCATAGACAATAATGCGTTATAGCTAATAGGCATTTCATTCTTACGATGTTTGACTAAATTCTTCATCGATTTTTTTTGAATCTTGGTTTCAACCGCAGAACTTGAACAAGGATTGAAGCAATTAGATTTATTACAATTATTCAATTTTTCATTATTTTTCTTCGGAATCTTAAATTTTCTTAACGCGGTAGCGGCTAAATATTGAGATTGCTTTATTTCGGTTTCGTTATTCGACTGATTTTCCGAATCGTCCTTGCTAATGTATTTGTATTCACGTTTTCGAGATATACAATTGTGTGGCAAAGCCATAATGCCAGATATTGAAAATACAAATTCAACACTATTAAGTATAAATAAATAGAATAGTCTGACAACGGTCAGTTTGCTTTTGCGTCACCGCAATATTTATATACGCTGTTAATTTGTACCAAACAATCTGAAANTACTTACATTATTTTGATTCAGCGCATAACATAATTGAACGGTGCATACAACGAATTAAACCAATTGAATATAAATTATATGTAGAATTGAAAAAAACAATAATGATGCGTATTTTGTTTTATAACAACTTTACGGAAACAATAGTTTATAAGAAACAAATCAAATGTTTTCTAGAGGATATTTTTACGTTGACGACAACGACGTTACTATGACGTAGTGTTTTAAAACATTCGTGTTGTTTACCGAAATAGCCAATGTAGGTAATTTTTTTTTTGTACAATAGTCAGTATATATGTACTATATAAGTACAATATCTTCCGTGTTTTAATATTCGGGTCGCATTATGTTGAACTTAATTTTTCCCTTGGGCGTGGCTGACGTCGACCCCGGGAAATGGCTGGACTCCGAATTATAATCAAACATAAATGGGTCCCCCGGCAAACAAACATGTAATTTAAAAATCACATCGAGTTTACCATCACGATTGATCGTATTGTATGCACTGTCATTTGAACTAAATTAATAGCAATCGTAAAACTAACCAGAGTTCAAGTATCCGTTTAGAAAAATGTCGGGCTCCAACGCGAAGCAAAAGACCATGCAGCGACATAGCCTGCATACCTCGTGTACACGCACATACATGTACACGCATGGATGCTGGGTTTTCTCGATTCTTCGATAGGGGTTTATGATGAATTATTTAGAGGGGTTGTGATGGTACAACATCGCCCGGGCGAAAAAACTTTTGTTTTTGTACACAAATAGATGATCGCTCATCAACGAAATACTGCATGTCCGGAGATGTAAGTTGCCTAAATTATGTCTTGGATGGAATGTAAATACGCGTCTCGGCCAAAATCTTAAATATAATAAAGACTCGTTGGCAAAATAAAAACAAAGTATAACCAAACATATTTTATTCATTTTTTTACTAAACAATTTGACAGCATTTTAACATATAGGTACTTACAATAAATTATGTTTTTTTTAAATAAATGTGAAATAGCATTCCTTTGTCTTGAAAAATATTATTTTAATGGTTAGAGTAAAAAATGTATAGTTTTCTAAATTTTTCAATAAATCTCAAACGTATTCTGACACAATTCGAGTAGGTTTTATGATCGGGCACCTATATGACTGTCGACTTGCGTATTTTGGTCTAGGTTTCTAGTTGTTTGACTTGCAAACTAAGATATCTAATATCTTAATAGTCATTGATCGTCAAACTCGATACAACCATAGTCTACGCCTCTATAGTAAACAGTTATCAGTATATTTTGGAAAACGCATGGTTCTATCGCATATTCTATCTATAATCAACGATTACTTGAGATACCGTACTACTATCTGTTGTAAAACCTAAAACCTATTCAGTCTATTAGTAATAATGACATTTGTGAATATTGTAATATCAATAATTGCGGTCGGAGATAAGAATACTTCGGCATGGTTAGGGAATTAATATTTTGTGGTAGGAAGGAACGGCATACCTAAATTGTTTTCTTAAATTATGCTGGAGTAAACTATTTAGAATCAGAATATTTTCTAATTTGGGGTTTTAAAAAATCTCCATAATCCCACTTTTTTTTGAAGGGACGGAAAGACGGTGGAGGACGTTCGAAAATTTTTGTCCCGAGACGCCAAATAATTAAACATGGCTCTGCCGTTAAAGATAAAAATGTCGGCTTTAGATAATAATATCGTTCAAATCCTTAGATAATACATGTTGCTTATACTGTTGTCGTAAATAATTTTTAGTTACGAATTTCCTGTTGACTGGTTTGGTCAAAAAAAAAAAAAATTACGTAAACTACGATTTTGACATATTATAGTACCATTTTCAAAACCGCACAAACCAAACATAGTGTTTTCATTTTATTGAATACTATATAAACCAAAATATGTGAACGTAATCTTTAGACGATTTTTGTTATCAAATATACTCTCGAATTGTATTACTTATCTGCAATACATAATAAGTATGTTAAATTCCAATATTCTCGCGTGTAGAATTGAATAAAATATAAATGTATCTTTATACTTAATATACGATTTGTTTCATTCAAATTCGGTCCGTATCGTGCGAATTCCGTTATAAGAAAAAAATAAAACTTCCTGTAGCTGGTGATGGTGTATTTTAGATTCCGAGTGGAGTGAGGAATGTATTGGTTTTACATAGATGTTTATTTTTTTTTTATGTTAACCATTTTTCTACCAGAAAGTATACTCCTATTTTCAAGTATAAGCACCTTTTCCGAAAAGAAATCTTCTCCGGGTAGTACTGTACAGAGGTTATTTTTTGAAATTCTCATTATATTCGAGGTTATGAGGAAAATCTGGGTCTTTAAGTTAAAAAAGTTTGAAAGATCAAAATTAGGTTGTCATTGGCCACCGTTATTATTTATTTTTTGTTATTATTAAGTTTTTATTATTTTAAATATCATTAAACATTGTTGACATGGAAATGCACATTTTTCCATACATATGTATTGTTGACAAAGCATCACTCAACTTTGTTCAGAATCGTTTTTCGTAAGCAATGGTTTATTGTTGCTTACGGATATACATTAAATTCCCATCTGTATCCTACCTTCCCAACTTTCCACCAACAACAGTGGCTGCATCCATGTGCGAATTATGTCCGTCCTTAATTGATTATAAAATGAATCTACAAAAATAACAATCCGATTTTTACCCAAATTGATTGCCGGCATAAGGTTCGTTCTTATACACAAAACAATCTAAAAAATCTGATTAGTTCTCTTTTTACATGCTGTAAATCGTTTATATATATACTCAGAATTCTGTTGTTTGTATAAAATAGTGTACACGGGACTGCAATACGATATTTTTATTTTACATAACAATACTTCTCCTCACTGACAATATTATAATATTGCTAGTTGATTTACTCATTATATTTTCCGGGCTCAATTTTTTAAAATCCGGAAATCAATAAACAAATTTTACTTAACGTGTATTCTCAATTTATTTAATCTTCCTTCTTGTCACAGTTAACTATCGTTGTTGCCCGGTAAATTATCTTTTAAAAAACGTACGAACTTTCTTATTTGTAACAACCAAATTAATTAATAATTTGTAACCTTTTTCATCCGTATCGCCAAGGTAAATCAACAAAAAAATAAAAAAATAATTCAATTTTCGATCAAAATATACTAAAAACGCTGTTGTGTTCATTGTGACTCTTATTTGGAATGCCAATAGTGCTCAAAATTCCATCAAAGTCGGAACATAAACTGTAGATGTGTATAAAAAGCCAACATGAACCGTACGTCTGTGAAATCGATCCACTACCTATCCTATCCGATCGACTCTATACAAAGCAAATAATTAACGAATTATAGCAAATCGATTATGAAATTAGCAAATCACTTCCACGTTTTGCGTAATCAATTTTTTATTAGGCGAGCCAAGTTCACGTATTCCACCCACTTTATCCGATCGAGTTTAAACGTACGCGAATAATTAACGAACAGTTAGTAAATTTTAGCATATTTGCGTTTTATCATTGACAAATTAATAGGGCGTGATACTCGCATGTGTATTGTCTCCGTGTTACAAACGTACGACAATTTTGCAAATTCGCGTTCAGCGAAGACAATATTGTGCCGGTAGTTTTACTATTACAGGTAAATTTACCTGTTATCGACCATAAAGACAATAGCATTATCTGTGCTACACCGGGAACACTGTTCCGATATTATTTATTTTAAAGAGAGATATGAGTATGTAGAATATCACAATTTAATAACGTTTATGTCTCGACATGAATACTGCGCAATAGGTATCGCCCCGCAGGTTATCCTTAATTTCGGTCATTTAATTACTATAATCTACTGCAACCGAGCTAATACATTATTATTTTAAGTGCAGTAATGGTATAACGGTAAAATATTAAAAAAACACGCATGACTTTTCTTTCTAATTTAAAATAAATTTGAAAAACAAACATTTACCTTTACCTATACTACTACTACTACTACTACTACTACTACATTTAGTTACCTATATAATAGATAAATAGTGAAAAAACACGCGAGAAACTGCGTGGTTTTTCGCGGTGTATCCACTATAGAATATTATGACCTGCGTGCGTGAAAATGAAATCGTAGGTTTCAGTCTATATAAACATCATATAGATAGAGAAACAACTATTATTTGAAATGAGCTGCCCGCCAATCGCTTGGCGAAAAGTTGTCAAAAACAGCAAACCAATCGATAGTCGCATACTTAGGACAATTTTAAATTTACAATAACAAACAAACATTAGTAAATTTACGATACAGTAAGCGGACAAACGCTATTAATTCCTCAACGTTTACGGCTCTAAAGTCGACAATACATTAGATTACACGGTTCGACAAAATTTAAAAAACGATAAAACATTTTAAATGAAAGTTGCACACAGTGAAACGAATGAAATTGAACCCATTAACTTATTACGACGAACACGAAGTGTCAGTTATCATAATATAATGTAACGAGACTTCCGACCCCATCTTTATTGACAAATGCTATCGATAGCGATAAATATTAGTTTTATCTGTAATATCTAGGCACTTACCGTTGTAGAGGGTTATAGAAAATAAGTTTAAATATTCCAAAATTATTACGGAAATAATTCAGTTTATGCAGTGTTCGATCATCCATCTCGTCGTGTCACATACAGCGCGTTAAAAAAAATTTTCAGTTTCTATTTTTATTTTTTTTAATATGGAATTTAATGGAAAAATTTACGAACAATATTAAAATCGTGAGAATACGGAATTTCTACTGTTATATTTAAGCCGACTTGTATTAGGGAGTCGGGAGCAGACGGTGCCTATGGTATACCGATGCAATTT